AGAAGACTTGGAGATGTTGGTAGTTGGAAGAAATACATTTTTAAAAAAAATCTTTACCTGAGGATATGTTTATTGGTTTTGAGAGAGAAGCAAGCAAACATCGATCCGTTGCCCCCATTCACACCCTGACCAGGGATGGAACCCACAACCTTTTTGTGTATGTGACAAGGGCATTCTAATCAACTGAACCACCCAGCTGAGTTGGAAGAAATACATTGTGAGAGACTGCTTGTTGCTAAGAAGGAGGGCTTTCCAAGAGTGCACCTCAGAATTGAAACAGTAGGAGCAAGCATGGGCCCTTAGGGTGACAGTTGTTCTTGGTCTGCCACCATTCAGCCTCCACCAGCCTTGCAGGCGGCACCGGCAGTTCCAGGGCAGCAGCTGCAGTGCTTCCTAACCCTTCTGTGGGCAGCTGCTCGGGAGGCCCGGATGCACATAGAAGACAGACTGAGTGGCTCATTGGAGTCAGTAGGTCACATCCGGCAGGTTGCTCTCTCGGCTCTTCTTCCCATGTTGTATCAGCTGTCACAGCCTGCTAAATATTTGCAGTAAGAAGCCTTCCGGTTTTCCCACAGCACCTGTGCTCTCCTGGACTGGGTGTGTGGAAATAAAATGGCCTAGCTGGCTACTAAATAACAAGATGGCGAGTATATTGTTTGGGTTTTGTTGTGTCTGCTTCCTCTTCAGGTCACTGAGTGCAGGAAGAGATGTGTTTCGTTAATGTTCATTAATTCATTGACTCAAGGGGTAGCCAGCAGCAGGCATCACTAGAAGCCTTTTAATATTAATGTGCTTTGATATCAAGTTCATGCCCTTATCTCCGTTGCCTGCATCAAGGTGCTATATGTGAAATGGCCACAGGAAGAAGCTCAGGTTAGTAGACTAGGAATAACTGTTTTTATTGGGGAACACAACATAAAAAGAGAGGCAGGTAAGTACAAGCAGTCATTTCAATTACTCTACATGCACATTAGTAACAAATATTGGTAGGTTTGTGTTCCTCAGTTGCCTGAACCCAGTGTACTCTTAAAGTTGGTGCCTTTGAGATTCTAACCACATAGTGCTTCAGTTTTGTTTGGGAGATGCCAGCAGCTTACATATTCGCATTGAAACTGAATGTAGTATGGTGCTAGCCATTGAATTTTAAAAATTGTCATCTTGCCCTGTCTAGTGTGTCTCGGTTGGAATGTCGTCCCGTACACCAAACAGTTATGGGTTCAATTCCCAGACAGGGCACATATCTAGGATTTTTTTTTTGGGGGGGCGGGGGGTGACCCCCTCCTCAGGGCATGTACCAGAAGCAACCAATCAGTGTTTCTCTCCCTCTCCCCCTCTCTCCTCTTCTCCACTCTTTCCCTTCCCCACCTTTTCCTCTCCCCCTCCTTTCTTTCCTTCCTTCCTCTCTCCCTCTCAAAAAAAGAATAAAACATCCTCGGGTGAGCGGGGGAAATTGTACTCCTCACGACTGACCCACCCTTCCAGGCTAAGTGGGTCCTGATGACCCTCCCACCTCCCTAAGTGCAGCTTATTGGTTCCCTCTAACAGTTTGACAATGACCATAAACTTATTAACTTAGAATAAGTGAACCTTATACAGGTATGTGTTAACTTACAAAAATAGGATGTGGGGAAATTTAGATCTGTATAACAGCCAGGGAGCGAAGAGTAATAGCCACTTTCTTTACCACATTTTTCATCCGTTTTTAGGAACATGTTATAAAAGAACAAAGTAATGTCCCTCTTACTCCCAATTTTGAGAAGAAACACTTCTAGCTTCTTTTTGTGAGGATAATCTTCCTTGTGCCTAGGCGATGGGGTCCTCTGTGGAAGAAATTTACCCCGTACAACTTCCTGGTAAAAGCTGATCTGTTTATTTTTTATTTTTTTAATATATTTTATTGATTTTTCTTACAGAGAGGAAGGGAGAGAGATAGAGAGCTAGAAACGTCGATGAGAGAGAAACATCCAACAACTGTCTCTTGCACAACCCCTACCAGGGATGTGCCCGCAACCAATGTACATGCCCTTGACCGGAATCGAACCTTTCAGTCCGCAGACTGACGCTCTACCGCTGAGCCAAACGGGTTTCAGCAAGCTGATCTGTTTAACCTCAAATACAAGCATTTTTCAGATTGCCATGAAAATACAGTCTGTAAACTGACAACTGGAGTTTTAGGGTTTGCTGTGAGTCCAGTCTGCCCAAAGCACCAATGTAGGTACAAGTAGAGGATATTGGAGCAAATTTAAATACAGTTAACTTACACTGATTTCTGCTGACTTTTCCAAGGCTTTCCCTTATATCATTTAACATTTGGGATCTGTTTGCACTATGAGTTGACATGGAGAATTATCTATTCTCCTTTGCTTTCAGAGCTGTAGAAGAGATTGTGCAACTGGTATTTGGCGGGGGGGGGGGGGGGAGTTGCATTTTGAAATAATTGTTCTGTAACTATTGTGTTGCTATTCAGGCTGTCCAACTAATCACTTCTGGCTGAAATTTATATCTATTTTATTCTGCCTCTACCAAAAAATGGCTCCCCCTCCCTGAAATTCTTTTGGCTTGATTTATGAGTTCTTTTTGTTGTTGTTGTTTTGTGTGTGTGTGTGTGTGTATATTTGTGTGTGTGTGTGTGTGTGTGTGTGTGTGTGTGTGTGTGTGTATATATATATATATATATATTGATTTTTAGAGTAGAAGGGAAGGGGGGAGAGAGAGAGAGAGAGAGAGAAACATCAATGATGAGAGAGTCATTGATCAGTTGCCTCCTGTACATCCCCTACTGAGGATGGAGCCTGCAACACAGGCACGTGCCTTTGACCAGAATCGAACCTGGGACCCTTCAGTTCACAGGCTGACGCTCTATCCACTGAGCCAAACCAACTAGGGCTATGAATTCTATTCTTAAACATTCTGCATAAATGCCTAGTTTCTCTGAGCCAACTCTTCTCTCTTACTGAATAGGTGATGTTATGTTTTTAACCTACTATGGAGGTGGCAAGGATATTTTACTTTGAGTATCCAGACTATGTAATTATCACAAGCTTTATAGGAGCGGCTTTGTCTGATCCAACATTGGGAGATGCTTTGGTTTTCAGGGATAAACATTTTTAAAAAGACCTCAAAGTGAGATCCTCCTGCATGCTCATGGGGTAAACATCTGCCTGACCACCAGGCGCTTCCCAGGATCTGCAGGAGCTTGGTTAATCCAGGGAAGCTCTGCTGCCCTTCCGATTTTCCTTCTTTCCTTGGAGACTTCAGATCTTCTACAGGGTTGTTGGGAAAGAGAGACTCAAGAAAACCGTTACCAGGGTTTTCTTGGTGACTGAGTAAGCTTTGCTTGTTGTCACTTAAAATATACCACCAACAGTTCTCTTTCCATAGAACCTGGGTGCTTTCTTGCTATAGGTGGGATTGTCACTACTCAGAATTGCTGTCAGTCCTGTGCATTTATTTCTTTGTGAAGTTGTAGCTTGGTGGGGCCAAATGGCAGGACTGGGCTTGAAAGATTATTTACTGCTGCTGCGTGTTCGTGTTCGTGGTCGTGTTCTCTCTCTCTCTCTCTCTCTCTCTCTCTCTCTCTCTCTCTCTTCCTTCCCCCCCCCCCCTCCTTTCACTTAGGGAGACCAAAATGATGGTGCTCTGAGTTTGCTCTTCTGTGTTCACTTCCCTCCTTCCTCAGCCAGTCTCAGAAACTCAGGGGCAGGGATGACACTCCCCAGTTCTTCATAATCCAGTTGAAAGCCTCCTTTTCTCACCCTCATACCAAACCCACGCCTCCATAAAGTGCTTCATTTTACCAGCAGATACTTTGTGCTCACTTTTTCGCCAGTAGAACAATATTTGGTTTATGGTTTGAAGGGTCACTGTTAAAACAGAATACAAATGTTTAAGAATTCCAAGCATCTAGGTACTTTGCGAATGTGCTGGAGGTATGATTACCTCTCTTTGTATTTAAGGAGCTAGTGTTTCAGGACAAATTGTGTGTTTGCACATGTCTTTAATGTGCTGCAGCATCAATATACTAAGCTGTTCATGTGTCTGAAAATCTCAATCATTTGACTTTCAGATGCATTATCTGTCTTTTGTTTGTTTTAACCATCTTGTCCAGCCTATTTGCTTTGTCTTATACTCAAACAGATTTGTACTCCAAGTCTCTAACAACCAGTAGTGGTGGGTGGGGGTAAAAAATGTATTAGAGGACCAACAGGATCAACCGGGGTCCCACTGCTGTTTGGAGGAATTTCCTATATCTTAGTAGAATTTTTTTTATTAGTTTATGATTGTTTCACTAGATGGCAGGTAAGAAACTGACATGAAGTAAAATGCTGGCCCTTTTTCTAAAGAGCAGGACTGCTCTTCAGCTCAAGCTGAAGATGGACAATATCCAGGTTTAGGTTTATTTGAGTCTTATTTCCCTGTATAAGCACAGGTAATGGTGCTGGAAAGGTAGAGTCTTTTGTGCTCAGTTCCCCTCTTTCCTCAGAAAGTTTCTGGAACTCAGGCAGGGGTGAGACATTAATTTCTAAACCCGAAGCTTTAGCACGGTGGCTGATAAAAATTCTTAATTCTCTCCTTTCATAAAAATTTTGTATTACCTTTTAACTCAGACTACCACTTTCCCATCAGGCAGCTCCACAATCATCTATAACGTTACCCTGCTCCATTTCCTTCTAGCACTTAGCACTGTGTGAAGTTAACCTTGTTTATATTTTTGTTTGAAGTCTTATCTTCATTCCCTCCCTTCAGTGCTGTATCTCTAGCTTAACATAGTAAATGTCTGGCACATGGTAGACATTCAGAACATTGGGAGGAAGGAATATTTGCCAGGAAAAGCAATAATTATTCAGGTATATGGTGTGTATTTGTTTCACTTTTGATCTCTGAGAAAACAATCTACCCAAACCTGTCTTTTCCGGCCTTCTTTCTTCAATTTTGGCTTGACTGTTGGGAAGAATGAAGGTGAATGCTTTTCTGAGTCTCTTTCCTCTCCCCCACTTTAGCTTGCCAGCAAAGCGCGGACAGAGAAGGAGGAGAAGCTGAGCCAGGCCTATGCAATCAGCGCTGGTGTCTCCCTAGAGGGCCAGCAGCTCTTCCAGACCATTCACAAGACGTGAGTTGGGGAGCACAGAGATCCCTTATCCCGGGGTTTGCTGCCTGGCTGTGCTGTCTGGTGGCTGACTTCCAGGTAGTGGTGTTCCTGAAAGTCTCCAGGGGAACTGGGTAGTGTGTTAGCAATGCCTCAACATCAGGGGTATGAGTACTTGTTGCCCTTCCATACAGAAAAGTGGGGTGATTGTGGACAAATTGTCTTCTCTGGGCTTCGCTTTCTTCCATCTGCAAGACTAAGTTTTCAGTTAGGTTATCCCTAAGTATACCTAGTATTCTATACCTAGTATACTATACCTAGTATTCTATAACTTAGAACTAGTGATCTATTTGTCTTTTATTATTTTATGTTGTACCTTTCTCTAAAAGCTTATGCAGTTCTATTAAGGAAAAGTTATCTCTTTTGCTCGTCCCAGCGGTACATTGGGTGAAGGTAGGGAGTTAGGGAGAGCAGAAGGCCACTTTATTACCACTTTCTAAAAGACATTTTGTCACAGCAGAAGTCATTTGACTCCACTAGCTTCCCTAGTTGCTGAAAAACTGAACATTTGACACTCCTCCCCCCCCCCCTGCTGCCTTCTGTTACCCTATTTAACCACCTGGGTCTGGTGCACAGATGGCAGCTGGCATCAGAGCTGTTTGGGTCCATGGTGTGAGTCTCTGAACATTTGCAGGTATGTGAAGGAATTCGCCTAGTAGTATCAGCTGTCCTGGGTTTCTCCAAGTGTGAACTGGAATGGGTTTTCCCACTCTAGCAAGTGCCCAGCTGTCTGATAATGGAGAGGGACCATTTTGAGGAGCAGCTTCCATTTTAGGTGGCAGGCAGAGTACAGATCACAATAAGATGGGGCATTTGTTCTTTCTAAAGGTGCCATTTCCCCGTAGGCCAAAGTTTGGCAAACTACAGCCAGCAGGCCACATCTGCTTATTTGTTCATGTATCATCTGTGGCTGCTTTTATGGTACAGTGACAGAGTTTAGCAGTTGTGACAGAGATTGTATGGCCTGCAAAGCTTAGAAATTTGCTATCTGACCTTTTATATAAAAAATTTACCAGTCCCTGCTCTGGCTGCTACTCAGGTTGAATCTAGTGGCCTGAGTCTAGCTGAACTCAATTTTGTTTGGACTTCTGGGGCTGCCACTAAGTTTTCTATGGGTTTCCAGGTCGTCATACCCCTGAGCAGACTGTTTGAGAGGCCTTGTGTGCCTGACTCCTTTTCTAATGGTTCAGAGCAACTTTTCTGGGTCCTCCTCAGAGTAAATGTGCATCAGTGTCATTGCCTTTCCCAGCCGGTGATTCCCAGAAATGTTTCTTGGCTCCTCCTCCTCAGGGGCTGCTGGCAGCTAGTGTTGCCTGAGTGGTGAGCTGGGAACTTGGGGTCAGCAAGAGGTGTGGGATGCGTGCAAAAGGTAACTTTCACCTGTTCTCTTTTGCTTCCAGCATTAAAGATTGTAAATGGCAAGAAAAAAACATCATAGTCATGGAAGAAGTTGTTATTACACCCCCATATCAAGTGGAAAACTGTAAAGGCAAAGAGGGCAGTGCACTGAGCCATGTACGCAAAATAGTAAGTATAAAGGAGCCACAAAACTAAGGAGAGAATGATTCCTTGGCCTTCACCCTCCAGCATCAGGCAGGACAGTTCCTCCTCTGACACAGTGCCTTGTGAGAAGCTCTGTTAGCCACCTTACCTCCGTGCAGTGCGCTGCTCTGCGGCTGTGGCCTCGACACTCCTGCAGCGGTGGAGCCACCAGGTGGTGTGGTCATTCGCAGTATGGTCCTTTGTAATGTGTGGCTTTTTGAAACTGCATGATATTGGCCTGAGTAGTTCCTCTCACCTCAGGAAGGGTTCTTCTCAGGAAGGGCTATTTGGTATAAATCGGTTGCCGTTGGCGACTAGGTCCCTGCATATGTCACCTGACTTTTTAGATTGAGTTATAGCATTTGTAAAAACAAACAGCACTGAAAGACCAACATTGTGAATGTAAAAAGTTTAAGACTAATTCCCCACTTGTCTGAAGAGGGGAGAGGGATTTTTGGATCATAATAATCTCTTTTCAGTTTCCATTTTAGTTTATAGATTCATCTTATTTTAGCCAATCTTAGCTAAAGCTGCAAAAATTGTGGCTGAAACAAGACACACACACACACACCCCGACAGCAAAAGCAAAGGTGCCTGAATAATCTGTGGGCTGGTCAGCCAGGAGGGGGCTGTCGAAACCTGGAGCAGACTGTTTGAGAGGCCTTGTGTGCCTGACTCCTTTTCTGACCTTGGTGACTGGTCTCTTTCAGGTTGAAAAACATTTTAGAGATGTGGAAAGCCAAAAGATACTGCAGCGCTCACAAGCCCAGCAACCACAGAAGGAGGCTGCCCTGTCATCCTGAGTCCACATAACGGAGGACTCTTCCAGCATCCAGCCGAGGAGGCGACGGTGGTGGCTTCAGCGGAGGCAGGCCGGGGGAGGGAAGGGATCCTGTATTTCCTGCTGGCTCTTGTTAACAGAGGGTCAGCGTTTCTAAATCTTAGACTTGAACAAACAAAACACCCAACAAAAAGAACAAGAGAATAATTTAAAAGTTGAATCATTACTTGACTAACAGACTTTGGTCCACCATGTCCTTTTCACAGCTCCCTTCTGAAACAGTCACCTTGTTAATTTTATTTTCGAAAATTTCTTCCTGGCTCTACCCTTTCCCCTCTGACTTCTCATTTCCTAGTCTGTCCGAGTCATTCTGTTGTTACAAGTGGCCACACTTACCTTGTGAACGATTGAAAGAAACCTTTACATCTTCCAAAATAAAAGTAACAAGCTGACTGTATACTTAAGTTGAGAACAGCAGACAGAGGTCTCACTTTAAATTCCGCGCCCCGCCCCCCTTTTTTTTTTTTTTTTTTTTTTTTTTTTTTTTTTTTTTTTGCACAGGGCATGGCTTGAATTAGTTTTATTTTTCTTAACTTTAAATATATATATGAAAATATATATTAAAATGTTCTCTAAATATTTTCTGCTTCTTGCAGGTCTCTTTTTACTAGATCATGGCCACTCTTCCCACCTCATCCCTCTGAAAACAAAAATGTATTGCCCTCCCCACCTCCCATAGCCAAGCAACTAACTTGACTTAGTTTCACAGCAAGAATCTCCGGCAGCACTTTGTAGAGCCAGCGTGTGCAGGTGGGAGTTGGCTTTGAGGGTTCCTGGTGGCTTTTAGTCTGTGTGTGTGTACCAGGCTCACATTTGGCTGAAACCTCAGGATTCTCCATCTGCCTTTTGTCTTACTTCACGGTACTAGAAGAACTCCTCACCACTCTCCTTCTCCTACATGAGAGCGCCAGCTGCCCTTTTCTCCAGTGTCCTCTGCAGAACTATTTGCATGGCACATTCGGCTCCTCTTCGAGGGATGATATGCTTTTATCAGAAACCTGGAGTCCACCGATCTCCACCTCTCTTTAAGTGCATCCAGAGGCAACAGCCCAGGAGAAAGCTTGGGTTGCCTATAGTTTCTCTTCTGACAACCTCCTACTCTTACGCCCATGCCCACTCCCTTTAAATTTTACAAGCTTATGACAGTTTGTATGTGCTCAGCCATTGGGCAGAAAACCTGAAAAGAATTCTGGACTTTAGCCCACCAGTTTGTCTGGTTTGATAACCTGCTGAGAGCCAAAACTGGCACCTGCTGTCCCATGCCTCTAGGGCCATCCAGTGGGGCAGAGAGTGCCACCATCTGAGTATCAGGCACTGAGTGGGATGTGGGTGATGCTCATGTGACTGGCTAGAGCTTTGGGGGTGGGGTGGGGGTTAACTACTATTTTTTTGGCCATGATCTTTTTCCCCTTCCTTTTTTTTTAATTAAATAAATGGATCAAAATTAAATAATTCAAGCCCTGCCTTCAAAATGAAATTTTTTTTAGTATTGTTTAGCAAAAAACAATAAAAACCCAAATTTTTTTAACCATCACTCATGTCTCGGGTTTGTGTATCTTCAGAGGCCCCAAAGGGAGAGGATATGAGAGTATGTGTGTTTGGTTTGACTTTTCCATTTAGTTTCTTTGCTTTCTACTTTTAACCCTCTTTACTCCACTCCTTGAGAATTCATCCAGAGATACGGTACAAAGTGTGTCATTTAAGAAGGGCATCCAGGGTTGGGAGTAGTGGGTAAGTGGAGTAGCAGAATAAGAGGCTGGGTACATGCATAAAACCATTTGAAGTGCCATGCCTTTGATTTGGTATGCACAGACGTGGACTTCTGGGAAAGGGAAAAGAGAAGAGACCTTGCAGGATCTAGAGAGCCTAAGAGGTACGATTAAAGGAGTGAAAGTGATGAGAAAAATGGCAAGCCCCGGGGGAAGCTCTCCGTCTCATGCCTGTGTTATCATCTCCTCCCTATTAGTCTAGGTCTGTATTGGGAGATCCTCTAATCTCCAGATACACACACAGCTCTATACACCAGCATCCGATTACCTCCTCATTGCCACATAAGCCTTTACTGCTGTTCAGAGCATCCAATTTGTTTGGTAGAAACAGCAAAACAACCACACTGAGCTGATACAGAATCTGCCACGTAAGTTGAGTAGCTCATTACTGATTAGTGTTGAAAATATGAAGATTGTTCAAGCACTTCAATATTATAGTTCAGGGGCTCTAGCCAGGTTCCTTGACATTTTTGAAGCTAAGAATGTGTGTATCAAAAAGTATGTTCTACCTGGCCTGTAAGCTCAGTGGTTAGAGCACCGACTCATAAGGTCAGGGTCTTGAGTTTGATTCCTGGTCAAGGGCACATACCTGGGTTGCAGGTTGCATCCTTGGCCCCATTTGAGGCGTGTGTGGGAGGCAACCAATCAATGTATTTATCACATCCATGTTTCTCTCCCCCTCCCCTTCCCTTCCACTCTATCTAAAAAAATTCAATGGAAAAAATATCGGGTGAGGATTAACCAAAAAAATAAAAAGCTGTTCTTCCTTAAGATATGCTCGTTGAGGAAGGAGTAAAGAGAGTTTTCAGTCATATACATAAATAGAATCTCCTGTTGACAGGCTACTGTGCTGAGAATGTATAGTGTTAGAAACTACAGTGTACAAGATGAGGGTTGGGACAAGGTCAGCTCTTTTGGAAGATGATCATTGTTTACGCAGTGGATTTGTTTTTCCATCATTGCTGCGGTCTGTGGGTGCCAGAGAATTCATCAGCCCGAACCACCTAAACTTCAGGAGTTTAACACATGAAGTACCTTACAGGTGAAGACGGGGTGCTATTGGGCTGCTCTCCGCTGGTGGTAGACTGCTGCTGGGTTATAAAGTTTCAAAACAAGTTCTTTTGTTCTTATCTGGCTTATTACAGGAAAATTAGAAAATAAGGCAAAAATTTTTCATCTACCACCTAAGACATTAACATCTTTCATATATTCTAGGTTCTAAGATGCCTCTTCCTATCTCTTGCATTGCTGAAAGTGCAGTGTACTTCACAATGTCAGAAGAAACTTGTCAACTAATCCCTTAATTTCTAGCTCACAAGGTGCACTCTACGTGTTGGCATGTTAGATGTTATATATAAAAGATATATATATATATATATATATATATATATAAAGGATATGGGTGATCTCTGAGATTACTTCCAATCTCAATAATTACTTCTGTCTTCTTTGTTACCTTGTAATGCCTTGGTTACCTCTGAAGTCATCTTTGATAATTAAAATGGAAAGTGAGCCGGGACCGGTTTGGCTCAATGGATAGAGCGTCGGCTTGGGGACTGAAGGGTCCCGGGTTCGATTCCGGTCAAGGGCATGTACCTTGGTTGCGGGCATATCCCCAGTAGGGGGTGTGCAAGAGGCAGCTGATCGATGACTCTCTCTCATCGATGTTTCTAGCTCTCTATCTCTCTCCCTTCCTCTCTGTATAAAATCAATAAAATATATTTAAAATAAAATAAAATAAAATGGAAAGTGATTCCTATAATTTGATATACTAGAGGCATGATGCATGAAATTCATGCATGAGTAGGCTTTCCTTACCCCTGCTGCTGGCACCGGCTTCCCTCTGGCACCCAGAACCCGGGCTGCCCTCTCAGCCCCCGCTTCATCCAGAAGATCATCTGGAAGGACGTCTGGTCTAATTAACATATTACAATATAGTGGCATGTATGACTTGTAATATAGTTACTTGTTTAGGTTTATCTTTGGTCTAATGGGGATTTTGAGACAAGACTCTTTTGAGGCAAGGATTATGGCTTGCACATTTTTGTATTTCCTATACTAGTAGCCCTGCAAATGAATCTGTCCACCAGTAGCTCTCTGCAAGACTTGGCCTCTTGGCACCCACTGCCCAGAGGCCCATCTGCAGCTGGGCGCAAGACACTTGCCTCATTGCCACAGCAACAAAGCAAGCATTCTGCCAGGCCACTCACACTGCCCGCTCTCAGCAGCTCCTCCCCTGAGACTGGGGGACTCTGGCTGGACTAAGAGGACTGGAAGCTGCCATCTTGTGGCTGAGGGTGCCGCCATCTTTGTGATGGTGTAATGGTTAATTTGCATATTATCCTTTTATTAGACAGGATGTCGCAGTTGTGGAGATAAGACTGAAGGTAGATTTTTGGAAATCATCAGTTTAATAATTTGAGCCACAGTAAAAAGTCCAGGATTGACTGGGTTTTGAAGAAATCTTGAAATCAGGTTTGGGAAGAGAACAGGGACCAGTAAAAGACATGGGAGGGGCTGGGAAGGGAAGCGTCTTTCATTCCAGCTTTAGAAGCAGCAGGGCTTTCTCCCAGGTTTCTCCAGAGCAGATTTGGGCAACTGGGACCAAGGCTGGTCAGATTATGGCCTCTCTCTGAATTTTTATTGATTTCAGAGAGTAAGGGAGAGAGAGAGATAGGAACATCCAATGATGAGAGAGAATCATTGATGGGCTGCCTCCTGTGCACTCCTGCTGGGGATTGTGTCCACAACCTGCGCATGTGTCCTTGGCTAGAATCAAACCTGAGACCCTTCAGTCCGCAAGCCGATGCTCTATCCACTGAGCCAAACTGGCGAGGGCTCTCTCTTTTTTATTTTTATAAATATTATTGAATATTACATGTATTCCCTCTTTTTTTCCCCATTGACCCCCTTCTTTAATTTTCAATTTTGTTGAAAAGTCTAAAGAGGAACAGAGTTTCTTTCTGAACTGGTGAGATGAAGGCAAGGCATATTTCTACTGACTTAAGTAACCTCTTCTCCCTTTTCCCAACTAATTCTGATGCTAATTCCAGCAGGTAGTCTTCAGTGGAGGGACTAACAAGTGGTTTCTTTTTCCAATCCAGTCCCTTTATTCTGATCTCTGGCTTGAAGTAGTTGCTTATGCTTTAAGAAAGTGTGTGTACTGCTTTAAAGAATATTCTGGGATGGCCTCTGAGCTGTGATTTAAGCTGAAAGTTGAAGAACAGGTGCCTGCAAAGAGTGCTCAGATAGAAGGAACAGTAAGTGCTAACATTGAGGTTGGCAAGAGCTTCGGATGTTTGGGAACTGCTAGAAGGAAGGTGGCGGAAGTGTAGTCAGCAGGACGGAGCAGTGGGCAGGAGGACAAATGGACACTTCATGCAGGGCCTTGTGGCCATTGTAGGGACTGGAATCTGCTCTTGGCACAGTGGGGAAGCCGTTGGAGGGTGTTAAGCTGTCAAGGGATTTAATCTGATGTTGGGCAGCAACCGTGGAAGCAGGAAGACAGTTGTGTTAAGAGGTGGTTGCAAATCTAGGCAGGAGATGGTAGTGACCGAAGTGGTTTCAGGACTGATAGATCTTCCTGATGTATTGGATGTGAGGGAAAGAGAAACAAAGAATGACTTC